GACCTGGTAGATGGGAAATAGGCAGAAGGCAATACATAAGATACTTTTTTCTGTTTTGTACACCAAAAATTGCCACCACAAAAAGTTAATATTAGGACCTGCTAGAACATATAAGCTTTTTAAACAGAACTTGTAATTTAATACTAGCAGTGATCCAATACTCCACAAAGTCCTACTCTGCCACCTCATTGTTGCACAGAGGTGAGCCTGGACTTTAAAGTTATGGCAGTGGAGTACAAACTGGCAGGTTCTGCCAAGCTGGTAAGCCTTCAGGAACTGCATGTAGACATCATGTCTACTGTCTGAGATGCAGCCTGGTTAAGTACATACAGAGAGGTCTGTTAGATGAGTAGGCCACAACAACAGTGAATACAATGATGGTCTAGAATAATTGTGATTTTCGTTGATGGAGGAACTACTCACATCAGTGTAGTTATGAATTTTCAAGATAATGCTGGAAGTTCACAAAGCACTTACTTATGGTTGGCCTGTCAAATTGTACAAGTTTTTTTTAAAATGTTACAATTGTAATTTGTAAAACAAACAATATTTTGGCGACTATTATGTATTGAGAACTTGTTTGGATTTTTCTGTTATTATTAATAAAAGATTTAACCCTTTATGCCAAAGATCAGAAAATGTACTTATTGTAGAAGATCTGGAAAGTAATTTGTATGACTCTACTACTCTGGTCAATTTAACATTGTTTAAGGCTTAAAGCAGATAGACAAAGATGTCCTGATTTCTCAGAAAACTGGAAACATTTTATTAGTTATTGCAAAAATAAATTGTATCAGTTTATGAATTGGAAATAAGTTCCAGTTCTGAGGGCTACACACAGGATCTGGGAGCATTGCACCTACTTCACCCCATTTTTAAATATATTTTTAAAGATAACTGATTTTAAAAACAATATTTAAACTGAAAAAGTCCCTCTGCCCTCTAGGGGTTGTAGAGGGTAATTTTGTTGCTTGAAATGAGGAAGATGACTTTGTTTCCCAGGCAGTGAGAAAAGGTAATCTCTTGGTTTCAAAAGGCCCTCTGTTCAAAATGGCCTGGAGGGTATAAATCTGGAGAAATTGCACCCCAAGGCCTATAGAAAGTGTATGCACCTAAATATATTAAAATAGGGGATGTGCCACACTTTGCCCATTCTCTTGTAAATGTAGAACACAGATGATTTATTACAATGAGAACTTGTGTGTGTGTGTGTGTGTGTATATATATATATATATATATATATATATATATATATATATATATATATATATATATATATATATATATATATATATACACATTGCATTTTAAAAATAGCCACCGATATTAAACAGCAAGCTGTTTGTCTGCACAATTTGGGATATTTTTAATAATATTTTAATTTAATAAAACTTTTTTGTTGGTGTTATAAATTGACTTATTCTGTAAGCAGAGGTATCAAAGATGAAAATTTTACCAGCATGTATATACAAACAAATCTCTTCTGAGCATGTGTAGTTTGAAAATAAATAAAGCTAGTTCTTTTAGCATTAACATTTTGTTAAACAGGATCACACTCCTGACTATTTAACCTATTGGACAATTTGCTTTTTAAAAAGTGCATTGTGCTTGACTGATGTCAGAATTTTTTTATATTTGTGTATGATCTATTTCATTATGTTTTCTGTTTATTTGAAATCAGCTGTTATAATAGGTCCTGATGGACAGCCCTTAACAGTCTATCCTTGTCACATATGTGGAAAAAAATTTAAATCCAGAGGATTCTTGAAAAGACATATGAAAAACCACCCAGATCACTTGATTAAGAAGAAATACCAGTGTACAGACTGTGATTTTACAACTAATAAGAAAGTAAGCTTCCACAATCACCTGGAAAGCCATAAGCTTATCAACAAAGTTGACAAAACTCATGAATTCACAGAGTACACAAGGAGATACAGAGAAGCAAGCCCACTCAGTTCAAATAAACTGATTTTAAGGGATAAGGAACCTAAATCATACAAGTGCAAGTATTGTGACTATGAGTCTGCAGAGCAAGGACTGCTTAATAGACATCTGCTTGCGGTTCACAGCAAGAACTTCCCTCATGTTTGTGTTGAGTGTGGGAAAGGATTCCGCCACCCTTCTGAGCTCAAAAAGCATATGAGGACCCATACAGGGGAGAAGCCTTACCAGTGCCAGCATTGTGTCTTCCGTTGTGCTGATCAGTCCAATTTGAAGACACACATCAAAACCAAGCATAGTACTGATTTGCCCTTTAAATGTGAACATTGTCCTCAGGCATTCTCAGACGAGAAAGAACTGCTGGAGCACATAGAATTGTTTCAAGGGCATAAGACTCACCAATGTCCACATTGTGACCACAAGAGCACCAACTCAAGTGACCTGAAACGGCACATAATATCTGTTCACACAAAAGACTTTCCTCACAAATGTGAGGTTTGTGAAAAAGGCTTCCACCGTCCATCAGAGCTCAAAAAGCACAGTGAAAGTCATAAAGGTAAAAAGATACATCAATGTAGGCATTGTGACTTTAAAACTTCAGATCCTTTTGTACTTAGTGGGCATATCCTCTCAGTCCATACCAAGGACCTCCCTTTTAAATGCAAACGATGCAAGAGAGGATTTAGGCAACAAATGGAACTGAAGAAGCACATGAAGACCCACAGTGGAAGGAAAGTCTATCAGTGCCAGTATTGTGAGTATAGCACTACAGATGCATCGGGCTTCAAGCGACATGTCATATCAATACACACAAAAGACTATCCCCACAGATGTGAGTATTGCAAAAAGGGATTCCGTAGACCATCAGAGAAAAACCAGCATATAATGAGGCACCACAAAGAAGCTCTAATGTAACATATGAGCTGTGGAAGAAAGGAATTTAGAAACTGTGATATGCTAATTGGGGAAGAAAACTCTCATGAACTGTTTCTCCTGGTTTCAAAGCTTGATATTAAATCATAACTTTACATTCTTTGTATTAAAAGTCTTAAAAAGTATTAGGGTTGACAGGGGAGCTCATAGCCCTAAGATTGTTGCTCATCAGAACCTAAACACACTATAAAATGCAGAGAGGAATGAATGTTTGGAAAGCTGCAGAATGAGACCTTGAATGTCTTCTATTTAAAGTATTATACATTATTAAGCTAAAGAAAATACTAAGAAAGTTATCTTAGCCCTTTATCAATAACGCCATTTTATCTGCTTAATGAAAACCAGGGATGGAAATTCTTTAAAAAAGATTTGCTAAGGCAAGTCTTCCATATGCAGTTTTTGAACAGTGACACTACATAGCAATCCAATCATCATTACATTTTTAATTGTGTTGAGAATAGTATTCAGAATTGGTCAAATTATGAGACCTAGTCCTTTTTTGTTTGTTTTTAAAGCAAACATACTTTTCAGCAGGAATCTTTGTCTCCATTTATTTAGGTTCAATGGGTAATTTTTTCAGAGCTGCTAACCTATTTTATTGCAGGATATGGTGTTAAAAATACAGCATTATGTTTTTGAGCTCAAAACGTGTTGTTCGGTGCTAAGGTTAAAGATGTGTATGTATATGATTTCCCTTTTTATCTGAATCTGCAGTTGAATGTTCAATATGGCACATATGACAGAAAATATCTTTTGGCTGATCTAATTATTATTTTAAGAAAGGAAGAATGGATGAATGCGACTGTTGGTGCTAAGACTTGGCACTGTTCTTTTTCTTGTTTCTTTACTATCTCCCCTTTTTACAAAACTAAAAAAAAGTCTCAATATAGAAAGAACACAATCATGCCTATAGAATCTTTAGGACAGTGTTCCTGGCAAAGTAGGATTATTGCAGGTCCTTATTTGCAAATTTTAAAAAATCAGTATAGACATGAAAATTGCACCTTTTAATTGATTCATACAAAATGTATACCATTCTATAAACATGCATTCTCAATCTGTAAGAAAGTTATATATGCAGTATTTAACCAGAACAATATGCTGCCACTAGAGTTTGGAGGTGGATCTTCAGTTTACAGTGTATACATTTGAAATATGCATCCCTTTAAACAATGCTTTGTGTTAGCATGCTGCAAATCAAAATGGCGCTTAATATAACAAGCTGGTCTAGGGCTATTTAATAATTAAAGAACTGTTCATAAATGTTATGCATATAATGTGTCATTTTTTAAACTTTTTTTAAGTTGCTTCATGTTTGCACACAGCTGTTCACATGATAAATTGTAACTTTACTTCATGCTACTATATTGTGGCTTTGTGTTTCGGATAATGTTCATACTTTGTTTTTGCACCAGATGAGAATCAGTTCCTTGAGAATAATTTTTTTTAATATTTCTAAATTTCAGAAAGTTAACTTTGGGAAACCTTAGAAAACTACTTGTGTTCTATGTGGCTGTAAAAAATGATGTACACGCTGTAAAATAAGATTGTCACTGTTATGTGGGATTATTATTTCAAAATGTGTTACTCATTGTAATGAGCATACAATAAAAAGCATCTCTTGCACTCCAAACTTCATGCAGAAGTTTACATTCCTTGTTGGTACCAGCCCAGAGGTATGTATTTCTCATTTACCATTTATATATATATATATATATATAGAGAGAGAGAGAGAGAGAGAGAGAGAGAGAGAGAGAGAGAGAGAGACCATTATTCTTGAGAATCATTGCAGTGACAGTGAAGATGAGGAAACAGTTGCATCTTTGAATTTTCTCAGTCAGTGCAAAACTGGAATTTTTGGTTAAAGGATGTCCACTAGAAAGTCTTTTTCATTTTCATGGTGGTGTGATAATTTTGGTGTATACATACTGGCCTGAATCCCATTGATAGTTACCAGCCAGAGTTTGTTGTTGTGTGCCTTCAAGTTATTTCTGACTTAGAGCAACACTAAGGCAAATTTATCATGGGGTTTTCTTGGCAAGACTTGTTCAGGGGAGGTTTGCCATTGCCTTCCCCTGAGTCTGAGAGCATGTGACTTGCCTAAAGTCACCCAGAGGGTTTCATGACCAAACTAGGAATCGAACCCTGGTCTCCGGAATCATAGTCCAACACTCAAACCTCTGTGTCATGCTAGCTCCTGCCAGAGTAGACCAATTTAACAGGTATGATTTATTTGACTCAACAGTCAAAAACTGATGCAGTGGGTCTATTTTTGTTTGGAATAATGAATATGATTTCGACCATTCAGTCTTTCCTCTTTCTGTTATCTGTTGATTGAACTAATGTTAGTTATTGATTATCAGTAATTGAACAGGGGTTGCAGTGGTGATGTTTATTTGAAAGTAGACAGAACTCACAAGTAGCTGTCTTGTCACACTAAAGAAAGCGACCTTTTTCAACTCATTAGTTTGGAAGTTTTTTTAAAAAAATCATCAATTAATCTTAAATTCATGTTCTAGTAATGTGTAGCCATATTAGCAAATGATATCATGCCTTCCTATAGTTCATTGTTTTGCTTTGTTGTTGTTGTCTTGTGAAGAGCCTATTCTTCATAGGGAAGACTAAATGTAGTTTCCGCAGTACCAAGAGTCTAATCCGTTTGTGTGCATATTTACACAAGGTTTCTGGCAACCTGGAATGAGAGAAGAGATTCAGCTTCGGTGGTTACAGTCTGATAGAGTTCTGGTCATGTAAGATGGGGGAGTGGTGTGGAAAAGGACAACAGCACTGTGTACAAGCACTAGCAATGCTTTGGAGCAAGGCCAGTAAGTACAAAGCAAGATAATACATGATAGCTTTATTTACTGAAATAATAGTTATAAATCAATCATGGCACTTGTGCTCCCATTTCTGCTTCAGAGAGGTATTAACAACATAATTGAGCAGATATCAAACGTCACATATGCATGTGTTATCAAAGCTGGGGAATGTGCCTGAACTTTTGATTTTATTGTAACTGACCTTGCACCTCAGGTTTCTTAAATTAATTTACCAAGAAAATGATGGGACAGAGTTATAGATATGTTTAGATTCATATTGGTTTTGGGTACATATAAATTTGATTGCATTCTCAACATTCTTTTTTTCATCAGCTTGTTTTAAAAGCAAGGTGTGTTGAAGAAAGGGGCTGTTTTGTAAGTGAGTAGATTGCTTAGCTAAAATAAATACTAAGTCACTCATATTTTGTATTTATGCAGATTACTTATTCACAAAATAGCTCAGTGCAACAGCAGAATCTGAAGAAGCAAAAACTTGATCCAGGTGTAGAGAGATCTTGTAGCACCTCTGAGACTATAAAGAAGTTGGCAGCATGAGCTTTCATAGTAGACTTCAGTCTACTTCTTCAGATGCATATACTGAAATCTACGAAAGCTCATGCTTCCAACTTCTTTATTTCAGTTAGTCTCAAAGGTGCTGCAAAATCTCTCTACATACTGATTCTTCAGACTAACACGGCTATATCCAGGTGGTTACTTGACTTATTTTTCAAACTGTGATTCCCTACCCTCAATGGCACAAGTCATTGAGGCCTCTTTCAGTCAGGTTATGATTGTTATATAGATAAAAATTTCTTTAGCATTCTTAAACCTTTGAACATGCCTAAAATAGTAGTTTGAAGGGTTTGTGATACTGTATGTTATTTGAATAATAGTTTATTACTTAGTACTTAGCATTGCTTAGGAGACTCATTAATGATTGTTCAGCTTCCATGCTCTGGAACATAAGTGCTTTTCTGTCTAGATGTTCAAACATTCATGTTTAGCATTGGTCTTAGTTACCCTTGAGAGAACATATCTCTTCTGTTACTTTGTATGAATGAAAAGAGGCTTGGGAGGCAAACACTTCCCTTCCTTCTGAAGGGGCAGCCAAGTTGGGGAAGAGGAGGAAGGGTACTGAGATAGCAAGTTTTACCCTCGACTTATCCATGGTTCATATCAGAATCCCTAATTTTGCTCCCAAAACCTGCCCTCAACTTATACACATTGACTTATAGTCAACTATATACTAGGCAAGCAAGCAAGGATTAACCAGATTTGGTCAAAGCTAGCTAGAGGTAAAAACATGCCAATTGCTGTAGCTTTCACTTTAACACATCACAACCAAGTGTGCAGCTAGCGGGATGTGGGGAGGCATTGCCTCCCCCCCCCAACAATGAATTCTATCCTACCAAAGGAAATTTCCCTTTAACCCCAAAATTTCAGCATTAGAGAGGAAGACATTAAAATAATTCATACATAGAACCCTTATATTTGCTGTGTTGGTACTCCGTTGGTAACTTTGCCTGCTCCTTTTTTGGATGCCTAAACTGCATTCTTTATGTGCTTATCATATAAGGAGGGTGCTCTTTGTATGCTCACTCCTGTAATTTTCTACCCTAAAGCAAATGTATCATATGGTTTAGAAATAGATATTTTGTTTTGGTCAAACATAATGCAACAGGGGAGAAGTTTAAATGATCAAAGGACACCAACAACTTGCTTATATGGAGAGATTACAAGTACCTTATTTTCCTGCTTATAAGGCTACTTTTTAACCTGCAAAATCTGTGGTTAAAGTGGGGGGGGGGGTCATTTTATACACCGGGTATAAGGATAAGGGGGATAGAGGTGCTAAAACTCTTATGTTTTGACTGGAAAAATGGGGGGGGGGGGTCGTCTTATACGCCGGGTCGTCTTATACACCAGAAAATATGGTATGTGTGGGGCTGTTCAGCTTTGAAAAAAGGGAGACATGATAGGGATATATAAAATTAGGCATGGCATAGAAAAACTAGAGGAGGGAAAGTTTTTTCTTTCTCTCATAGTAGAAACAGGCCATCTACTGAAAAATGATGGAATCAGAACAGTGAAGGGACCCCAAGTTACTACCCAAAGAAGTGGTGGACTCTCCTCCATTGGAGATTTTGTAAACAAAAGGTGGATGATCACTTCTCAGGGACACTTTAGCACATGCTTTTCAACTATTTTTGAATACTCGTTCCATCTCTACCTTGGGATCCCTTCCAGCTCTCTCCATGACTGCCAGTTGGCAGCTCTTACTATATCTTATGGCAGTGAATTCCAGGTTATAAGCATTATGAAGAAACACTTTTATATATCCTGAATCTCAGATATAGCTTTAAAGGGATAATTAGTTCAGTTTTAGGTGAGAGCTATTAATGATTTGTCCAGCAAGGCTCTAACACTTTAGAAACCATCTGTGTTCACAACACACATCTGTCATGAATCTTTATTGTGTTTAGTTGAACTCTTCCAGGATTCTGAAGAACAAGAGAGATCCAAACCCTCCACCATCAATGATTTTAGGTGTTGCTGGACAAAAAGATGGATGAGTCCTTTTAAGCATTTTTGAAAACTGACAGCTCCACTGGCCTTGCTGCACACATGCTTGAAATGTCCAGTCAATTTTTAGTCTAAAAGGTTAAGGAGATGATTAAGAAATCCAAGCTTACAAATATAGTTTTTTTATTTCACAAATATGCAACCATTTCTACAGATACAGGCTGCATGTTTTGACTCCAAATGATCATCATTCCATCAGGCTGAGAGAAAAGAAGGGGAAAAATAGGGGAGCCCAGATCCACAAAGCAAATCCTTACAAAACCCAAGTAAAACCATGTTGTGTAGCTGCATAATAAGAACCTCCACTGAACCACTTTTTGCTGCAAAACTTTCAGTATTCTGCTCATACTGTGGTGAAATGTTTTTGAGAACTGTGCCAAAAGCAGCCAAGCATGCTTGTCCAATTTCTGTTCTTTTCATTGGTTCACAATTGACTTTGCCCTTTGTCTCTAACTCTTTACTTTGATATCTGAGATTTACAGGAAAGAAAGCAAAAGCAAAGAGGCAAATATCAAAGTTTAATTCTGACAGATCTGAAAATATCCAACTCATTTCAAATGGATCAATCCAACTTACTTTTCCTTCAATTTTGGTCCTTTTTACACCTCTGCGCTGTGGAATGTACAGTGGCAGTCCACATATAGTAGCCCATAGGAAACAGCATAGCTAGTTGAGGTTGGTGGGTCACAATTAAGGCCTATGACTTACAAGTTGTACATCCATTTAGTATGGTCAAGACATTTTCCTTTGTAAAATCAGCTGTTACCTAAAGTTAGAAGGGAACTTTCTGTGGTCCCAATATTAAAAGCAAAAAAGTGCCAACTGCTGTAATTAACTGGCTACAAATAATACAGATAGTGCCCCATGGCTTTTTTCACTTTTCATAGGCTTGCTCACATAAGAAAGAAACCCACCAGACTGAAAAATTGCCATGTAAATATCAAATCACTTTGAAACACAAATGTTTAACAGAAATATTCAGCTGTTTTTTAGTTCACCAAAATTCATTGTAAAAATGCAGCATACACTTAAGTACAGCTCAACTATATTGAACCCAGAGATAAATCCCACAGGTTCAAAAGGAATTACACCTAAGTAAGCATTCAAAGGGTTTCAAGGATAATGATGATGATGATGATTCCTGCCAAACTACCTTTTTTGTTTGTTCACAAAATAGCTTTATTGGGTACAACTGAGAATGTTTTCAATAATGAATAAGAAATGAAAGTTCTAAAGAACTTTCTAAAAAAACTTTCTAGAAAGCCTGAATAATAAAAGTTCTAAAGTATGATAGAAAGGACACCATCAAAGAATACTAGCACACCCTCTAACAGTCACCATTAATTAAAAAATACAGTAATTCAATAATAGTTTCTTAAGATATTTAGTCCTGAGATAAGCTAATGGGGAATATTACAACCACCATCCCTGACCAGACCCAATGCACACCTTCATTAATCTATCTGTCACCTCTCCCCATCTCTGTTTGTTTATCTAACATAGTTTGTAAAAGTGATCTGTTTCAGCTCCACATTCTGTGCTTAATGACCTTATGGCAAGGCTACATGGTTAAAACAGAACATGACATTTTGTTTACAGTGAGCATAGTCCAGACCATAGTCCCATTGGGGGAAAATCAGTGATGTTTAAGTGTGTAGTTGACATATGTCAATGACACCTGCCCCTTTCCACAGCTATCTATTTCCCAAACTGAGTGAGTTGGGGGAATGCGGAGGGAACTTTAATGGCTTCACCCATTGCTATGTGAATTGCAGAGTGGAAATTATATTAAA